CCGGAGCTCCGCAATAAACCTCTTATCTCTTGCTGTTGCATCAAGCTGGTGTCTTGGAGTCTTGGGTCTTCGCTGTCCACTCGGGACAGAACAGGACCAGCGGTTCGGGGGTCCTTCAGAACAAGACTTCGTTCCAATGAACTGTAATTACAAATGACGGAGAATGCTGAAGATCTCTTAATTACTCAAAATAAGTATTTTGACATTCATAAGAATTTAACTAGTAGACTTTTATGGTGTGCATGTAAAGTCAGAAGGACTTTCTTAACCTCTCAAAACCCTTGGTCTGAGACTCCCAAGGAAGGTACATCTATCAGTAATACTGAGTGAATATTAACGCTTCATTCTGTTTCAGGGTAATCGAGAACTGAGACAAGTGAATAAACTTTGTTTACATGACTGAAATAAATTAACACATTTATCTGAGGACTATAAAGTCTGGCAGGTACAACAGTTAAGTACCTGACAACTAAACAAAAGGTTAGTGGTTCAAACCCAACTAGATGTAATTCAGAATAAAAGCTTGATAATCCACTTCTGAGAAGTCACAGGAAAAGAACTCAGGAGTACAGTTCTTAGACACACATGAAGTTAGCCTCAATAGAATTAACTAGATGACGATTGATTTGGATTATATTTATTTGTATGGATACTAATAAAATCTGCAATACATTGCTTTTTGTCCTGACTGCTGGAACCAAAGTGATTATAGTAGATCTCCGTTAAATAAAGTCATTGACATTTTCAATCTTTAAAAAAAAAAAAACACAAAAACATCTTCACAGTGCTAAAGAGCAATGATTTCAGTTTAAAAAATAAGACGTGCCTGACACAAGCCATATTTTCAATTGCTTTGTATACATCTGAAAGTTGGACAATGGATCAGGAACACTGAAAAAGAAAGAAATGCCTTTTAATTATGGCTTTGAACAAGAATATCAAATACTCCGTGGATTACCAGAAGAACAAATATGTCTGCAATGGAGGAAGAGCAGTCAGAATGCTCCTTGGAGACAAGGATGGCGAAACTTCCTCTCATTTACGTTGAGCATGTTGTTCAGAGGCTCCTGTCAATAAAGGAAGACAAAACCAATAAAACTACCAATATTTGCATATAAGGGAGAAATAGTAGGCTGGGAAAAGCAGAAGTCAGTGAAAGAGAGGAAGATGTTTAACAAAATTCATTGACAGAGTGACAGAAGCATTGGGTTTGAGCATGTCCAAGGAGATCCTGATGATGATGCACGATAGGGAAAACTCAACTGCTCATAGGGTAGCTATGAGTTGTAGCTGACTCAAACGTACCTAATAACAACTAGATAGATAGTTCTTTTTATTTATTTCTTATATTCTTTAATGAAATATTTTTTCACAGCATGTTCTTTCCATTTAATTTTCCCCTCATTCATTCATTTTAGCACATTTTCCTCCCTGCCTACCCCTCCCCTCAGTTCACTTTTCTCTTTGAAAAGAAAAAAATCATTGACATTGAGTTGTAAATAAGTCATAGTTGACCCTTCAGTGGGTTTTCAGAGGCTGTGAATCACATGAGAGGAGATTGCCCATCTTTTTTTCAGCAGAGCAGCTGGTAGATTTGAACTACATGCTTTTGGCTTGGCAGTGCAACTCCTTTTTCACTAGGTTACCAGAGACCCCCTAGATAGGTAGGTAGGTAGGTAGGAAGGTAGGTTAGGTAGGTAGTCAATCTTTGACAATTATAAAAACAAACTAAAAATATAGACTACAACTCAGAACATGTGTTTTTCTATATTTGGCCTTATAGATTTTTATCAGAATATTATTTCTGATGACATTCCCCCATCTGGTTGTTTGCCTTCATACTTTTTTGGTGAACAAAGAAAATGTGATGGTTAAAGAGTTTGGCAGCTTAGTATTCCATTGTGCGAATATACCACAGCTTCTCTAGCCATTCGTTTGTTGATGGGCACTTAGGTTGTTTCCAACTCCTTGCTATTGT